CTTCTAGATTGAGCCAAAAGATTACTTACGCGCATATTTTGTCAACTCCAGGTGCAACAATCACCACGCACTGAATGCGTGTTCGAATTTTATGTAAAAAAAATTATTTTACACGTGTTGTATACGTGACATGGAACCCACACCGCAGTTTAAGATAGAAGCCTACTCATAAATGAAAATACCCAGAATTTATCCATTTTGCATTAAATTGAACTCCAGTCATTATAAGTTGACATTAAAAATTGTTTAGGTCACCAGTCTTTTTTTCGAGAAAATTATGATTATATATATAAGTGAATGGCGGCCATTTTGTTATTATTAGAACGCTTTTACCAGTAGTTCCTATGGTGACGATGTAATGTATATATCACATTGTAGACTAATGACAACACTTATATTATCGTTGCTAAATGAATATGTACTCTTTGTTATTCTAAATCATTCAAAAAATCTGGGGTTTTAAAAGTGATGAAAAATGCTGTTCTGTTTTAACATCGTGCTTTGTGGAATTGTTCTAAAACAGCAAACTTTTAACACACAATAGAATACTATTTCACGTTATCACCGAATCTGTTGTGTCCATGGTTGTACATAATATAAAAATGAACATTGTTATAGGATTTATTTTAATTTCTCGAGCATTACGAATATTAATGCATTATCTTTACCACCGTCTCCTTCTCGCTCTCTTCGTCCCAACTCCATCACTTTTCTCTCTTCCCGACAATCATTCTATTTCTCCACGAAATGTAGAATTTTTACTATCTACGTCATACATTGAGCTCAACTCCTGTGTTGAGCACGATCGAAATAACGTCGGTTCATTGAATACAATTAATAAAAACAATACTTAAATTTATCTAGTGAATAACATTTATTGTTACCTCCGTCAACTCTTTCGTTTTCTGTTCTAGAGTTACTCTTTTTCAAATTTCGTTATGTGGTATAATACTGGCAAATAAAATATTATTCTAAAAAATATAATTGATTTTTTTTTTCAAGTATAATCTGCCCTTCAACTGATTTCAAATGCTGATATATTTTTGTTAAATAAAACTTGAAATACACATCTTACAGTTATAGCTAGTATACAGCATATATAACTAAAAAAGTTGATTAAAAACATGTTAGATTTTCTAATCACATTTTAATATACACTCAAATTAAACATTACTCACAAACGGATATAGCCAATTTATTTATTTATTATCTCCTAGTATCTAAACAATATATTATCAGTATTTTCTTGTCTGAATACAGTTATTAAATACACTCAAATTAAACATTACTCACAAACGGATATAGCCAATTTTTTTATTTATTATCTCCTAGTATCTAAACAATATATTATCGGTATTTTCTTGTCTGAATACAGTTATTAAATACACTCAAATTAAACATTACTCACAAACGGATATAGCCAATTTATTTATTTATTATCTCCTAGTATCTAAACAATATATTATCGGTATTGTCTGAATACAGTTATTCATTTATTTATTTATTGCCTTTTATAATTAACAATTTTACCATTTCAGTTGTTTGGCAATATCTTTATCAATTAAGTAATATTTAATCCACATATTTCTAGTAGGGTCAAATTGGAAACACCCGTGTTTCTAAGAATCTGGTACATGACTGTTACAATTTTAGTCCCCCACCCCCACCCCCATAGTATAGACATGTATTGCTAGACAACTATGTAATAGCTTTCATTGGAATTCTCTCTAGGTTTCACACCACAATTACAATTTGTATGAAAACGCATATAATAAGTTAATTTTAGTTTCCGTGATTGGAATTTTAGCGAAGATCGACTGGTTTTGAAATGGCGTACTTCTACATTTTGAGTGAGCAGTCACTCAGCAGGGTCACGGTCAACATTTCCAATACTGCCAATACCTGCATGTAGTTGAATTTCATTTTTGTGACGTCATATGTTTACATATTTGCCAAATGTCGCAGATCAACACAGGCCTGCGATCTGCTGCGATAACATTGCTCATTAGGTTGTTTTATTAACAGAAACACTAACATGTATTAAGGGCTTGTTTGAATCGACAAAACATCCTCTAAACAGAAAACATTTTACCGTATGTGGCGCACTTTATCGGTACGCAAAATTACACACACAACAAATAAATGCGCGCGTCAGGTTTTAGACATGGAACTTTTACATTACAATGAAAGCACGAATTTTGCATACCGCATTTGCGAGACTCTTGTGCAAAAGGAACATTTTACCACAGTGCCTCTATTCTCGGGCGGACATCCGGGGAATTTCACCGCCTGGCAACCATTAGTGATGAAAGGCCGAAAACTTTCAGAGAACTGTACCTGGGGACACTTGTTGATACTCCCCCGAACAGGGTAACAAAATTACCCCTATATATACAACATATATACATTTGGTTGCTCATGATTATTTCAAAGTTGAGTTCGTGCTGTTTTCCCGACATTAGCTGTTTTCACCATCTCTTCGATCGGCGTTCCATTACAGCTCGCGTAGAACCCATAACAAAATACAAACTAAGGATAAGCGCCCATCGCTTTCGAAATAATGTACCAGTCTCTGATTTCAGTTTGTGAAATAAAAAAAATTGAAAATGAGCAATACCGTCATGTCAGTTATACACTAAGGAAAGAAAAACACATTATTCAAGACAACAAAAACAATGGATAGTTATTAATATTTTAAATAATAAAAATGAAACCATTATAAATGACATGGCGAAACACGTTTATAAGTTATAATATATAAATTCAATTAAAAGTGAAATGCTTAAACCAGCTGCTTCAGAAAATTCAAATTAACTAGTTTTTCTATGTTTAGAAATTTGAGCGTCTTGTTTGATTTTTTCCTGTATTGTTAGTGTTGTATTACTTTTTTGTATTTTTCATTAAAAATTCAAATATGGGATACGATAGCAATAAAGATTCTATTCTACATGGTTCAGTGGTGCGCATCTTCAGTTAGCAACATAAAACGTTCTGTGACGTAGTTCCGCTCCAGAGAATAGGCTATAGAGGGACTGTGACTATTAATATTACGTGCCCAGGGCACTCAGCAGCAAAATTCATGTGTTTTAGGGGTGGGCGCTTACCAGATAATAAAATTATCCATTAGTCCTTTTACTAAACCCCATTTTTTTTTTATGTTCCATCCATTTTTTTATGCTTTGTCACTCGCTTCACAGCCACCATCCTCATATATTAGTATTGTCGAGTGCCTTCTTGTACATGTTAATTTCTTCCTGATTTGCTAACTTTGTCGTTGGCTATTCAACAACATACATTTAATAAAGAGTAAACCATCAATACTAGGTGAATCCAGTTGATTAGCGAAAAACCTGCAAATGAACTCTTTTCATTCTATGAAAAACACTAACATTAAATTTCCATCATGCGTTTTTATGAATTGCGCTCATATACAGTAACTGCTCTGCGGACCCCATTATATCCTGCAAAACTGCAACAGCTCCCTCTATATTTCAGAATATATATATAGTTTCTTGAAAAATGAAGAAATATTTAATGATATATTTTATATTGTACATGAAATAAGATACTGCTTAAAAATGAACTGATCCTAAACCAGCAGGTGAAACAAACAGTGTACATTCATGGTTTGTGTGCAGTAAACTATTCTGTAAACTGTTTCACGATTTCAGAATGTAATGACAACATTTTGTGAAAGTCATTGATGTTCCATGTTGTGGGACACCCAAACAAAAATTCACTGCTAGAAAATACATAAGTTGCAGAATTTACAAAACAAATGCAATTTACAATAAAGGCCACTTAGGAACAAATTGATAATCGGACAGTAGTATGGCATATCAGTTGGTTGTTGGGCACATATTTACACTCGGACCAAACCATTTTCTCGTCTTGGATGCGTTTTTTTTCATTTTCTGTTCATGATTGGATAGAAAAAAAAACGAACTACAAATATTCCAATATTATTCATTAAAAAATAAAATCGTTTTTGTAGGATGGTAACTTTTTGAGGTCACCCCGACCAAACTGAAGCAAATAAGTTTTTTTTATCAGACATCAATCTTTTGACGTTGCCCCCTTAATTAACAGCATTTTTTTTCTAAATGGAAATAGAATGTTTTAATGAAATAGAAATTGAGTGTATTAATTAAATATAGTGAAACTTCTCGAATTCTGTACTGACAATCAAGTATTTTTGCCTGAAACTACAATTCCTCAAATGATTTCCTGTGAATCGTTTTAATTTCATGACAATAATTTTCATCATTTTAGAAATTGTAAAATTTTGTAGCTGTACAAATTTCTCTGCTGTTGTAGAGTATCAGTGACTTCCGCAATTTTTGTTCAACATGAATGCCAAATTAAATCACGACAAACTTTTCACCACTATCTTATATTCTTCAATATTTCTGGAAATGAACCCTAATTTTGGAGCCAACAGACAAAACTTGAGTCTATTTGCAGTTATTACTCAAACGAATTTGGCCATTTTTGTCCCAATCTTCTGAAGGAAATTGCAGACTATAAACTGAACTATTTTGTGATGGAAAGTGGGAACTGGTGGTGAAAGGGTTAAGTAGCTTACATAACATGGATGAAGCAAAGTTGTTTACTCTCAAATTCAGATCTCAGTAACCTTATTCAATCACACATTTGAAGGGGCATGGGCTGTAACTCTTTAACACGTTATAATCATTGCATCAAACATGGTTCCATTTCACATATACAACATTGATAAAAAATGTTTTCACAGAATTAGAATGTGCGCTGACTACAGAGCTGTTTTTCTTGTTTACTTACCAGTATCTACGTTATGTCATCAACAGTGAGATTTGGGGGACAAAAAGACGATGTTTTGAAATGTAATATCAAGTTTCATAATTTATTTCCAAAATAATTTATACAATAATTTGGTACAAACTATTTCACAGCATAATTTTGTGGCTGGGTATTACTTGATCTTTGACATAGTATCTGCTTTCTGTATTTACAAGAGACACCTAAATAAAATAGAAAGTAATACTCCAGTGTACCATTGCAATAATTTTTTTTATTTACACACTCCAACCACCTTTCTATGAGAAATGAATGCTGTGTGTTGCAGTGTTAATGCTGTATGGTTTGCTTATTTAACAAGTTGAGGTGGAGCCTACAGTATTCAATCACAGTAATCAAGTATGTAATCATTTTTCCATTTGTAATTATTTTTTTACTATTCTCAGATATCCCTGCGTGTCCTCTGTAAACGTGGGCATGGATGATATATCGATATCAGAATCAGGATGCTCATCGTAAACTTTACAAGAATCTTTTGTCCCATGTACACAATCACTGTAGACTCCATTCTCCTTTCTAGTCATCGCAAAATCTTGTCTGATTCGCATGTATCCTTCTTCGTCTTCTGTGAAATCCAGTTCTGTCAAGATGGGGTCCTCAGAGCATGGCAGATTTTTTGAAGAAGGGTCCTCAGATGAGCTGTATCTTGCTACGTCCTCATCAAAATCTTTATAGAGTTCTTGATTTTTCTTGTATGTATATTTACCATGAATATTTGATACTGCATTCTTGGATTCATCATGTTTATCAGAAAACTTGTTATTTAAATGATTTAATATCGCTTCTTGTTCTCTCTCCTCATCATTTTCAACATCTTGACCATCACCTTCAGAAACACTGCCCTCTGTAGTCTCAAATGAACAATTTGAATATGCTTCTGCGTCCTGCTTTGTGCATTTTCCTGTTATTGGCACACACGACTTAAAGAATGTTGAAACTTTAGATTGTCTGGTAGGCTGCTGAAATGCAGGCATTTTTGTAAAGACAATATCACTTGCAAAATGAAGCCTTGGTTTCTTTTTCACAGATGGGTCAATCTGTAATAAAACAGTTAATATTTAGTTGAAGGATTATCAATCAGTTTAACTAAAAAAATTTTGAATTAAAAATTCTCATTTTAGTACACAGGGGGATTACTCTATTATAATATACCGTATTAGCAATGACAAAAAACTGGGGCCAATGACATTACAAAGAAAGTTGAACATTATAAATATAAAAAAAATATTGTCATTTTAAAAGTCACCAAACTTTTTAAAATGGTATTCAAGTTTTAACAGTTTGGCCACATTAATACATGTGGGATAGAACGTTTTCTACTGTGAAATTGCTTAAACGTCCAATTCAAAGAGTTTGTGATGCAGCAATTGAAACAACCATACTAAAGTTTATTTGAGCGTTTCATGAAAACATTGAGATTTTTGGTCATTTTGCACAGAGATTCATAGATCAAGTTATACTCATGGCCAAACAGCATCTTTCATCTTTATATATATTAATATATTTCACAATTTCAAACAGAAACAAGAGGTTTCAATTGGCCGATTGAATAACAATGGAACATTTTCAAATGACATTATTGTGCACTGCCATTGGAATTCATAATATATATAAATATTTGTTGCACCTGGTATACTCAATTCATATGATAAATCTAAAATAATAAAACATTTTTGATATATAAAACAGAGTTTATCCAAATTGTTCACCCTAATATGAGCATATATTTGAACTAGCAGGAATTGTGTGGCCTATCATGTGCACTGTGAAACTGTATCAAACATCTGCAATATAACTTTACGTTTCGATGGTTTGGTGCACGTGTTCTGTGTCAACACAGTTTTTACCTTCATGACAGGAAATAGTAACTAATGAATGTTGGGTCATTCATAGCACTGGTTAACATTCACAACATACACACAAAACAAAAACCTGTGTCATGTCTTCCACCCAGTGCTACACGACCAAATATTACCCATGATGCAGTGCACTAATAATATCCTTGCAAAGGTACACCCCTAACCGGAGATCCTGTACAATAATAAGGGAAAAAGTACATGTCCATGCTTTTGGCAATCATGCATTAAAGTTAGTATGTGCATGTTTTTTTTTGTTTTGTTTTTTTGTTGCTTTTTTAAGGTTTTTGACAAAACCAATTTTTCAGTATAACAGAGCACATTTCTTATGACAATTTTAAATTAATTATAATTAGGTAATCAGTTGTTCTGACGTAGGTAAGACAGGAAAATTAAATAATTCTGCTTCAGCTTGAATAAAGTTTATAAGAACGATTTTAACTTACCTTTTCTCTTCCCCTGGTTGTTAGCCATACATCACATGGCTGCGGTTGGTGGTGATCAGTCTTCATTGATTTTCTTTTTCTTTGTTTGCTCATAACACTTTTTACCCTCTGATATCGGACCTGTGCCGGCCGTGGCCCAACTATTCACTGTCTTGGTACAAATATGTTCCGAACACGATAATTGGCAACAGTGTAACAATATACTGAAATAAGTGGATATGTTGTATTCAAATGGGCGTCATTCAATACCAGCAACGATTAAAAAAATAAAATAAAAAAAGACAACTTCTGATATTAACCACATTTGCGTGAATCGTTCGAGTCTCCCGCTCAACCATTTACAGTCTGTGTTTTCATTATTATTCATAATTATGATTACTAATTTCAAAACACCATTTTTATGGTAAAAATATACAGACATTTTAAAAATAGTAATAAATATAATAGGAACACATTTTGATGTGGAATAGATGTCCAGAAATGTTTCTAATGTTGCCGAAACACGATCTACAAAGCTATTCATTTGACCTTTGTCCTTCAAAACAACAAACTTATCGCAGACAGTATCGTGTGGAATCGTACCATTCAGTATGCCAGTCACTGGTTTACAACGTAAACCGCGATGTCAACGCGTCGCGCCTCACTTGGACTAGTATTTATATTATTATTATTGTAAATAACATGACATCTGAAAACGACAATCGTGCCATCGTTGCCGTTGACGTCGGAACAACAACAGTGAGATGCCATGTGTACGATAGCCGGGCGAGGCTCATATCAGAAAGCTTTCAACAGGTACGTATAGGGTTGAGTACCGGTGCGCTGGTGTGAAGGCGTGGTGGTTGTTGTGGCAGTTATGGCGTCTGACCGTACCTGGAATCTGAACATAGTGATGCACATGTGGATGTATTAGGTGACCTCATTGTGACCCCAGTCATTGTAAATCGAATCTACATGTACGCGATCCTGTTTAGTCACAGTATGTAATAATACGCCCACCGATCCCGGTGCCACGTACTCACATATCCCGAGACACCTTACTAGTTAACACAATCGCCGACATACCGACACTTCACAACCACACATCGTGTTATTAGTTTGCTATAATCTGACTACTTTATATTTAATAAGCGGGAATAAAATAGATTGTATTTCTGGAATAACGCACGGTCCCTGGAGTCGCACTGTCTGTGCACTGTCTAAGGAAAATAGTATAAAACAAATTTATTCTACGACGTACTGGATAAAATTAAAACATTTTAAGAAATATATACAACTATGTGAATATTCCCTTACTATTACAACAGCAACAACAGTTTTTGCGGAAAAGATATTTTGTTGAAAATGAACACTGAATACCTGGAAGCACAGTCACTCTACTAGTAGAGTGACTGTGCTGGAAGTGACTGTTGTTACAAAGACAAACTAGAAATCAGTCAAATACAGGCTAAAAAAACAAACAAAAAAATGAAACCCCAAAAATACAGGAAATTGAAAAAAAAAAAAAAAAAAAAAAAAAAGGCAAAGCAAACATCAAAAATAAAATTACAGTTTGAAAAAGCAAAATCTCTCCTATAAACAAACCAAATTTAAACGACTGACTTTCTTGAAACAAAAGATGAACTAACACAACAGCGCATGTCCAATTTGCATAAAATTCAAACTGGACGCATGAGCAGTGCTCACAGGAAAGAACGTGAAGGATTAATCAATTTGAAATACAACTAATTTGAAATATTGGCATTGTAAGAAAGTTTGTTTTCTCCTGAATCTCATCAAATGTTTTCAAATGACATGGTTATGAAGAAAAAAGTAAATTTTTTTATTAACTATTAGTTTTTCACACTTTGCTCGCTCAACTCACCACGTAGGTTTGATGTCCAGGTAATAAACTTAATGACAGATACAAATTGCTTTACCGTGATAAAGAAATGGGTCATCTGTCAGGTTTGAGAAATTCTGTAAACTATAGTGAGTAACTAACAAATTTTATTTACAGGCAATACTCAACAACTTTGCTAAAAATTATGTATATAAAATTATTCAAGGTATTATTTAATTTCCTAAATAAAGTATTTAAAAACGTTTTAAGCTGATTTATACATTAAATATGCATACAAATTCAAAGTGTACTGTAAAGGGGGTAATTATTCACTGTGTTTTAATTTAGCTTATTTCGCTGAGTGGAAAAATGCGCTAAATAAAAACACAGTGAATATGTAAAATTTAGCATAAAACACATTATCTAAATGACGAAACCGTGAATTTAAAATCCACTGAATATGCCTGAAATGGTAAATCAGTGAAATTTAAACCCAGTGAAAATTAGTCATTTTACAGTACATGTCTCTTGGTGGTCACTCTTTCAGCTGTAATGTACTATATAAAGTTTAGAATCCATTAGCCTGACAAGGTTGCCATTAGTTACTGAATCTTGGTCCAAAGTTTGTCATGAAATGCTAATAAAAGCATTTCCTAAAAATTTCCTTTTTTGGTGTGAGTCCAGTGGAAATAATGTAATGAATTATTCTGGTTGGCAATGTTTTTTTTATTATTTATGTTAATTTGAAACAAGAAAAGAAATGTCCTTGCCATTGGTGATGCAACCATACTAAAGCAAGTTGACTTTCTTAAAGTTTCATATAAAGAAAAATCTCATCACCCTATAACTTTTTTATGAAACTTGTCTGTCTTTTGTGCAGCTTAAAATTTTGCAACCGTCACCAGGATGTAAAGAAATTTGTCCAGACTCCCTCTGGTCACAGTTCACAGAAGTAATAAAAGATGCGATATCAGGTACCTTTTACTTCATTAACAATTATGTGTGAAAAGATAAACAGAAATCTCAAACGTAGAAACAAAAGCAGAAGTCTGTCTTGGCATTGAGGGCAGCAATTATTATCACTTCGATTTTTTTTAGAAAAATATTGTGTAGATATAAAAATTAAAAATTTGTCTTTATTGCATATGCTTAACTCATTTTCTTTCATTATCAGCATCAAAAACGTCTACATTAGAAGAGATTGTTGCTATGGGGATATCAACACACAGGGGTACCTACACACTATGGGACAGGTATGCATTATTATATGTCATGAATATTGATGGTTACAATACATGAATTGAGTTGTATCGCATCATATTTTACAAACAAATTCAGTATTTCCATGGTGATGAGTAGAAAGATCAACGTATTATGCAATTTATAATTTATGGTCTCAGCAGTGCTAGTTGAAAAACTTTTTTTTTTTTAAATGTATATACATGTATATGTTCCAAAATTGCTAATGCTTTAAAAAGTTTTGGTGTTTTTGCATAAAAAATCAATCTTTTATGTGAATATTTGTGTATTTAAGTCATTTAAAAGCCGGGAAACAAAAAAAGACTAGGAAGTTTTCTCTTTACAACTCCCTTGTTTGAACAAGCAAAATCAGTTTAATCTAACCTTCCATTTTCCCACAATTACCCTAGTAAACTCATCTTGTCTCATGTTTGTACAATGTTTTTCAGGGCTGATACAAGAAAATTCTAATCATAGTTTCCTGAGAGCTTAGATTAAAAAGTCATCATTCCTGACCATGTTTCAGCAGGCACATTGTAATATCACTTCTTTAACCTTTTAAAATAACATTACTTTTCCTGGCAACATTTCTTTTGCAATATTTTGCCTGTTTTATATATTTTTGTATATTTTATTTTTATAATTTTAGACCAAATACTTATAATTTCCTATTTGCTACAATACTGGATCAAAATTATATTATATTTTGTGATGTTGACTTTGCCACTCAATGGTTTGAATAGATGTATGATTCCTCTCACTATTAACAATACGGTTATGAATACTAAATGCATTTTGGAAAAACTGTCCAACTAAATAATCAAATTCCCAAATTTTATGAGATACCATAGTGTTCCATGTTGACCTAATCCCTGAACAAACTCTGCTTGATACAAGACATATTTTCACTTATTATTTATTTTAATTTCTCTGTTTACTATGACTATGACATAACTCTGTGGTTTTTTTTGTCAGGAAAACTGGTAAAGTTCTTCATAATTTTATCACATGGCAGGACACTAGAGCTGCTGAATTTGTTGATTCTGTTAATAAATCAATTTCATATGGGGTATGTATGAATTTATTATTTTATACCTTGTAATGTTACCTTTAACCACACTAGTGAGTGAGAATAAAATTATCTTAAAGGGTGGTAGTCGTCGCGCCATGCATGTGTGAGATATATGGGTCTAATATAAACAAAGATGGCAACTTTCACTGTTGTGCAGAGTACAAACTGAGGCGTTATTATGCTTTAATTCGGTATTTTTTAGGTGATTGGAAGGTATCAAAGGTCAAACCTCATACAATGTACTTGTGATTTCCATTAGAAGAATGCATTGGATTGTGGGAAAATCAATGTTTATCAACGTAAATGTCGCACATGCACAGTGCGATTACTGTCGCCCTTTAAAAATAATTCCAAAGTATATTTTTTTTCTACCCGCTTCTGTATCATTTGTTGTTCTTCTTGCCAATACTGTAGCCAATTGAATGGTCCACTTAGTAATTTTTTTGTTTAATAAAATATTTTTCTTTCTCCAAGCGCTATAACTTGGAGTTTGAACTTCTTTGAAATTTTGTTTATGAACTATTTGAAGTATAATAAAAAGAACCTCTTAAGTTTGTGAACAAATCAAGCTAAATCCCTTTTTCACAAATTTAGGGAGTTGTTTTTCAAGAATTACATTTGTTTACCAAACTATAAACATAAGCAAAAAATTAAATATGTGAAAAAAATAATAATTTTAAGAACAAATTAAATAAAAAAGCCCAAACTAAGTTCTTATTTAGTCTCAGTCATTGAATGCAAGTTACTGAATTCCCACAAAGCCATGCAAATGAAACTCTGCATATAAAATATTTTGAAACATCTATGGTAAATGGAAACAGTATGATATATTTTTTTCCCTGGGGACTACCCTTTGCCCTCATGACTACCGGTAATCAGTTTATTGACTATGACGTGAGTATTGTGACTTGTGAAAAATACTTACCCCAATGTGCTATGTGTAAATATAGGAATGTAGTATACACCCCTGTAGAGTATGTCACTGGCTGAGATTCATTCACTAATGAATGTGACTTTGGGAGGGAATCAAATTAACAAAATTTAGAGTTTCTGTTGAAATCATGCTTCCAATTGGAAAAGGCACATATAGTAACATCAATATTAGTAGTCTTTCATATGTTTGCAGATGACTTAGGACAGTTGTGGTCATTTTGAGACCTGCTCAGCTCATGTCGAAATCACATATTTACTAGGATTTGTTAATCTGTTAGTTGACCTAAACATGACAGATGATGCGCATGTTCTTCCTGATTCTATGTGTTGTTAGGGTATTTCATATAAATACTTGTGCCCACGAATGGTATTAAAAGAAGAAAGCAAAAAGGCAGATTGATGTAATGTAGTTCACCGCACAACTATTGTCACAACCATTAAGGTTGTGATGATTTTAGCACCGATCTTCACATCTGCTGAGATTAGATCGTGGTTTTGTTTTCGGAATGTACTGACTTGATCCAAAACTGTTCACAGAGATATGGGACATGTGTTGCGACAGCTTCAATGCTTGGCATGTGCCAAGATCTCTAACCTGTACACAACTATTGTCACAACCATTCAAATAAAAATGTCTATTTATAGATAGATAAACCAGAACAATGACTTGAAAGATTAATTTGCAATCAAAGAAGATAATCATTGTCATCCAAATGATTCTATGAAGTGTATTTACTGACTCCTACCAGCATAGTCCCAGGGATAATATGTTTGGTCTTTAAACAATCCCATGTAGCAACACATAAGTAAACTTGAACTCTATAGTGTACAGATCTACAGTGATCAAAATATTCTAGAAAACATTTGTTGTGTTTTCAATGAATTAATAGTTTCAGTAAATTGCAAAAAAACTATGGGTAGTGTATGTAATATTTCTCAATCAAGTGAGAAAGTAAAAAAAACTATAGAATGGTTGTCATGGAAACAGATGAATTTTCAGGCATAAATATACAGAAATAAAGTTATTATAATTTACCGACAAATATTACAACTATTTGGAGAGAAATGAATTTATTCGACCCTCAATTTGAGTGGAACATACTCTCAATAAAGGTAGTACATTCTGTAATTATCATATTAATACTTTTATCCCATTTCTGTTGTTCCTGTGTTATATTTTCAGGTGGTGAAAGGTGGCGCTAAATTCTTGCATTTTTTTACCCGAATGACACGATGGAGAGCAGCTAGTTCATTCATCTTTAGCACTCAGCATGTAAGTACTGTATACATCTATAAACCGATTCAATAGAAGCATTGTAGTACCGGTATATTGAAATACCGGCTCACAATATATATTAACCTAAATAAAATCACAACAATAATCCTAGAATGCTGATAATACACCAGTTAATTTATTCAAAATATCAGTAAAAAAAGATTTCATTTCATGAGAATTATTGCTGAGTTGCATCTACCCATCAATACATTTCAATTTGGTGAATGTGTTAAACACACATTTCATTTTCTCTGCCAAGATGGCTGCCCCTTCAAAACCTTTCCATGGAAATGGAGAAAAATAAATTAAATTTGATCAATTGATACTGATCTTAATTATTATTTACCGGTAAAGTACTTCCACCACTTCCAACCCCTCCCCCTCCCAAACCAGGAAAATCATAATAATATAACCACTTTCTATCTTGTAGGCCATATTGAGACTTGCGTGGTATTTCGACCAACATCCTGAGGTAAAAATATATATCATGATACAATGTTAAATATTGTGTTAAATTGTCACATAAGTTAAAAAAAAACATATTTGCAATGTGTGAATTGCAAAAAATATCGAAATAACACCCTTAAAATGTTGCACATATATGTTTGGGGTTATAGTACCAACAAATCTCAGATCACTTTAATGAATCACATGATTAGATGACGTACTGATTGTGACACTT